TCAATCACTTAGTGAAAAAAATTAGCTATATTAATATTTAACTGACAGAAAGACGAAATTGAAAATTGAAGTTGAAAGATGTTTTTGGTATTTTCTAAAGTTTAAGGATGAATTGGTTCAAAAATAAAAATTGAGAGACCAATTCAAATATTTAACCTAAAAAAATATGTTAGCTAACCGTCAGCATCCCAACTAATTAATCATTAAATAAAAAAAGTTGAAAGTTTGTATTTTTAAATTAAAAAAAGTTAAAAATTAACATCTTTAATTAGAAAAAATTGAAAATTGATGTTGTTAAATAAAAAAAATTAAAAATTAACACCCTTATTTAAAAAATAACAAAATTAACATCTTTAAATAGAAAAAATACAAAATTAAAATCTTTATTTCACCTTTACTCGAATTTAAAACAAACCCCACAAGTCGCCGACAGAAACAGTAGCAATTTAACGAAGGAATTAGTTTGTCAAATAATTGGATCCGCGTTCCATCTTGTGCACCTTTCCACAGACAGTCTGTCTCTTCATCTCAGTCCTCACCTCTTCATTTCTTTTACTTGCCCTCTCGGGTTCCACACCCGCCACCGCCAGTCTCAATTCAACCCCTCTGAGGCCGGAAAGTTTATTTTCCGATCGACCAATCTCTGTTCGGAACGGAACGGAACGGGTCTGATCTGGATCCTCTTACTTCTCCGCATGAGGGTTCCGCATTTATGATGCGGTTCAAGAAGAAGCTGGTTCATGATCTTGGGAGCCACCCTGACGTTGATGGTGAAGCCCCATTTTTGAGGGATCCGGAGAGGAATAACGGGTTCAGTACGATTAGGCTAATGGGTATCCTTGTGGTGATTTTGATGGCTGTTTCGGTTCTGTTTTCAGTTTCTGTTGTGCTTAAGGACCCGCCAACTGATGGTGTTATGGAGCCCAGAAAGGAGACTGGGGCTAGGGTCCTTGACTTCAAGCGCCAAAAAGGTACTAAATTTAGTTTATCTGGCGCCGAATCTTAGGTTTTGGATACTTCTTTCGGTGATTAGTGGAAATCATAAATGCATGCTTATTTCACTGCCTTTTCTGCTTAGCATAGATTAATGGGTACTTTCTAAAGTAGTGATCTTGGGGCTTTTTTTGAAGTCTCTTAATTGAGCTTAGTCAGTATCAGTTTATGTGCTAAAATGCTCCTTCGGCTGGGCAGATAATGTTCAAATGAACATCATGAACGTCAATTTTTCGATTCCTTATTTATGTTTCTGCCAGTGTTAGAATTTGTAAACTATTCCTGTTCAAATGAACATCATGAACGTCACTTTTTTGATTCCTTATTTTGTTTCTGCCCGTATTAGAATTTGTAAACTATTCCTGTCAAATTTTTGTTCTATTTCATGTTTTCAGTTCTTTTTCCAAATTGAATGAAGTTAAAGTTGCAAGTTTGTTTTGATATAATAGGAGGTCTTTTAAATGTAACAGACATGCAGACTAAAAGTTGTGTTGAATACAATTTGGGACTTTTGATTTGATGTCATTGCAAGATCATTTGCCTCTCTTAACTATCTGTTTTGTCGAACTGACTTGAGCTTTTACTGGGTTCAGATGTTGATACCCCATCAGTTGAAGTGAAGGATAAGCTGCTTGGTGGACTTATTGCATCTGGATTTGATGAAAGATCTTGTATCAGCAGATATCAGTCAGCTTTTTATCGCAAAGAACTACTATATAAGCCTTCTCCTAACCTCATTTCAAGGTTACGGAGTTATGAGGCACTCCATAAACGATGTGGGCCCTATACGGAATCCTACAATAGAACCTTAGAAAAACTGAAAACTGGCCATCCCCTTGAATCCACAGACTGTAGTTATGTAGTATGGATTTCCTTTAGTGGATTAGGGAATAGGATACTGACCCTAGCTTCAGCATTTCTTTATGCCCTCCTTACAGATCGTGTTCTACTGGTTGATCCTGGTGTTGATATGGTCGATCTTTTTTGTGAACCATTTCCAGAAGTCTCCTGGTTTCTCCCTTCTGATTTCCCTCTGAAAAATGAATTCAACAGCTTCAATCAGAACTCTCCTCACTGTTACGGGAGAATGCTGAAGAATAGCACATTTACTAATTTAAGTAGGTCAATGTCATCTTCTTTTGTTTATCTCCATTTGGTCCATGATTATGATGACCAAGATAAGCTATTCTTCTGTGATGAAGACCAAACTTTTTTGCAGAAAGTACCTTGGTTGATCTTGAAAACAGATAACTACTTTATCCCTTCTCTATTCCTTATGCCTTCCTTTGAGCAGGAACTGAGTGACCTCTTCCCTAGAAAAGAAACAGTTTTTCACCTCTTAGGTCGATATCTATTCCACCCCACAAATCCTGTTTGGGGACTGATTACCAGATATTATCAAGCTTATTTGGCTAAAGCAGATGAAAGATTAGGAATCCAGATAAGGGTGTTCGACAGCAGGAAAGGCCCTTTCCAGTATGTGCTGGATCAGATTCTTGCTTGTGCCTTGAAGGGGAATCTTCTTCCCAAGATTGGAAAGGAAACGCTGATAATCAGTGAGTCTGAGAAATCTAAAGCTGTACTGATGACATCTTTGAGCTCTGGATACTTTGAGAAAGTGAGGGATATGTACTGGGAACATCCAACTGTGACGGGGGAGGTGATAGGTATTTACCAGCCAAGCCACGAAGAGTACCAGCAAACAGAGAAGCACATGCACAACAGGAAGGCATTGGCAGAGATGTATCTACTTAGCTTGACTGATGTGTTAATCACAAGCTCTTGGTCAACTTTTGGATATGTTGCTCAAGGTCTTGGAGGGTTGAAGCCATGGATACTCTACAAGCCAGAGAATCAAACTGCCCCAGATCCACCCTGTCGTCGAGCCATGTCAATGGAACCTTGTTTTCATGCACCTCCCTTTTATGATTGCAAGGCCAAAAAGGGAATTGACACAGGTGTGCTGGTTCCTCATGTGAGGCACTGTGAAGATATGAGCTGGGGTCTTAAGCTCGTAGACGGTGAGAGTGAGTCCTGAATTGCAGGGCTGGTTTTTTTGTCGTAGAATGTAGTCCAATGTCTCGTTGCAGCGTGTAGCTTCCTTAATTCTAAATTCCATTTATTGGCTACTGAACTATGCTTCATCCTTGAAATTTTCTGTTTATTCTTTTGTTTCTTTTTTTTCTTTCTCTTTTTTCTTAAATTATATAATAAAAAGTAATTATCTTTTATCTTGTAACCCATCACACTAATATATTACACTAATATGTTAATAACTTAATATGTTATGGGACTTGATTTCTCACTGCCACTAAAATGGAGATTATAAATTTTAATTGATTAGTTAATAAAATTAAATTTAACCTTACTCATTAGTTACTAAATTTTAATTGGTTAGTTTGTAAATTGAATACATTTTCGGTCAATTCTTAAAAAATTTTAAGATTAATAAAATTAGCTTACATTTTTCTTTGGATTTGTCTTTCTTTTGATTTAAGGGGCACATGATAAGGAATCATTATTAAGTAATAATTATAATTTTTTTTCTTGAAAAAAATAAAATTTTATATTAAAAAAATAACTTTTGATTTTTAATTTAAAATTAATCAATCAAAATCTAACACATGATATTTATAACAAAAATAAAAAAAGATTAACTTTATCATTTTTAAGACAAAATAATTATTATTATGTAATTAATGCTCATTCTCTGCTTCCTAAAGGCACATGATAGATTAACTCTTTTTTTTTCTCTATAAAAATTAATTGCATAAAAGCACAATTGATAACCTCCTATGCACATGCTAGAAACCTCAAATATCAAATCAATTTTAAAAACACAAATTAGTAATTTCATTAGATAAATTAATTGTAAGTTTTTTTTTTTTTTTGTCAATTTTTGAAGTTATAAGGTACTGGGTGTTGTTGTGAAACGTTAGGATTATAATTGGGTGTTGTTGTGAAGCAATACGATTATAATTGTGACTATGTTGTAAGTATAATTAAAAGTTAATAAAGTATTTAATTATTTATTTCTTAATAATATTTACTATCTTTCAATATTTCGGTTTTTTAAAGTTTTTTTATGATAAATATTCTTTTAGATTTTACAAGAGAGCAATTTATAAAAGGAAAATGAATTTTTAATTTTTTTTATAAAATTTTTAAATAAATGAAAAGTTAGAATTAAATAAAATATTATAAATTATGATATAATTAAATTAAATCAAATTAAATTTTAATGAGTAATTTTATAATTATATTAAATATTAAGTTTTATCTATGAAAACCAAAAGTAGAAAATTCTAAAATAAAACTTCTAACTTTATATATAAAATTAATGTAGCTTTCTATGATTTTTAAAAAGAGTAATCCAAAAAAATTTATTAAACATGCATATATTTAAAAGTTATATGAAAAAACCCACAACTCCAGTCCCACACGCACCCATGTAGTCCTAACAGCCCAGAATAGCATTGGTCAATGCCAATTTCACCTTAATTCTCAAATGCTTAACCGAATAAAGTACTAGATAAATTCAAACATGATATTCAGACATGCAGAATCATTATAGCACCACCCAAAGTAAACTAAATTTATATGTTTGATATCCACATGATATAACATCTCTGCGCTCGGTAATTTTTCTGGCTCGATTAATTCTTCCTCCCTTCACACAAAATGATGTGGTAGCCATGTCTGCAATGTGAAGAGGAAAATAAGCAATTGTTTGAGCCTTAGAAATAAGATGCTATGAATCAATTATCAACATAAAGAAATTTAAATGCATACGTAGATTTGAAAGGTGCACTTGTAGCTCCAACAAGTGTGTTGAAAGCAACTTCCTGAAATGGACCAGCCATTTTGCCACGAGGGAACCATCCAAGATCTCCACCCTTCTTCCCTGATGGACACTCTGAATATTCCTGAGCTATCTGAAAAAGGAAACCAAGAAAACATAGATGAATACCCAAAAGAAACAAGAAATTCAGCACATTTTGGGCAACACCAAGTCCTAGCCATAACTGTATGTTTAAGGAACCACTCCCGTATTAGGTGGGTCAGTGTTGAGTATTGAAAGATGTTCCAAATGATTTACCAAACAAAAACCATAGAAAATCATTAGATTGCATCAACACTACATTGGCCAATTACTTGCTGTCACACTATCTTGACAATACTTCACCTTTGCAAACTCAGCTGGTGGAACCTTATCTCCATTGCCAAGCCAGCCCTCTTCCAACTTCTTGTATGCCTCATTGATCTTCCCTTGCTTTTCACATAAGATATGCCTTGCTAACGGAATGGAAAAAAATAAATAAATAAATAAATAAAATAAAGAGGAGGAAGAAAGCAGGCAAGGGTAGAAAGGCTACATTACAACAAGCATATAACAGAACAGGCAAAGTAGACAAGATACCTTTAACATAAGTGCAGGTACCTAGACCATCTCCTCCCTTACCACCTCCTCCCTTACCAGCTTTCCCTTTACCCTTTGAAGCATTCTCATCACTTCCACTTGCAGCTTGTTTTCCCTTACCCTTTCCTCCTTCCTTTGGTTTTGAGTCCTTTCCCATTACTTCTCAACCTAAACTAGGTACAAAATGCTTAAGTGTTAGTATTGCAGAGACATGGTGATTTGAGAGGAAGATTATCACTAGTAGAGAAATTATGAGCAAGACCAAAATAAAGTAAGATGTGATCAAAATAATATATCTGTTTTATGGTGGTAGGCAGTTAACAAATCATAACACAACCCAATTCAACTAAACCCTAACTCCAAATCATTTGGAGTCATTGCCTCCATAATTTTCCTAGATTCCATAAGATCAATGGATATATTCTCCAAAGGAAAAACATAAACCAAACATAAGAAAAGGGCAGAACACAAAATCACAAGGCCCTTCAATCAAAAGATTATAAAATCTTTAGCAGTTGAAAGAATGACTTCCTTATTTCTTGTCTTTGCAATAACTTCAGTCGTTTTTTTTTTTTAATAAAATCTTCTGTCGCAAACTGCGGCATTAGATACCAAAAAGGGCTTTGGCCCAGTTGGTGTTTGCTAACTTCAAAAACATTGACTTCGGGATCAAGTTTAGGGGATTCAAATCCTTGCAATAGCTATTAGAAAAAGAATATGCATGCTTCACTAATGCGGAATTTTTACTTTTTTAAAGAATAAAGATAGGCCTTTTCAAAATAATAATAATAATAATAATAATAATAATTCTCAAGTAATGACTAAATCAAATTCAAGTTCTTCATCAAACATATGAAACATGAATTTGCATTAGCAGAATTGGTATCATCAATCTCTTCTTAAATGTCCCAAATGTCATCATCCACATGAAACAAACCCATTAATGTTCAATGCTGAAGTAAATAATTATACTTCTCTCTCTCTTTCACACCCTCAAAATCCTCAAATAGATTTCCTCCAAATTATCGCCAGTAACTTGGGTAATCCGTACTCAATCTGGACTGCCCAATAATCTCAACACATAATTAGTGTAATTAATTAATCCCGATTAAATAATTTTGATCATAAAAATCCCAAAACACCTCGAATTAACAACACTTAAATCCTATCCTAAGAACCCAACACTAAAAAGCAGGCAATCAATACAAAAGCTCGAGAGAAGAAGGAACTGGGATAAATTTCAGATTACCAGAACAAATACATAAACCCTAATCAGAGACGTCGTAAAAAAAATCCGATCTTTACCAGATGATACACGATATAGCAAACCCAAAAACCAAAAGTTCATGTCTGCAGCGAATGAACCAAACCCTATAGGAAAAGACTGATGCAGAAATTGAAAACAGCGAATTAAATCAGACATGGAAGAGCAGCAGATGGATCTAACCTTTGGTAATTTTACCTGAAGCAGAGTTGGAGATCAGAAGCTTTGAATAAAGCACTAAGAAAAGAGGATTAACCCTTCGAGACATTCAATTGAAGAGGATTCTTTCCATGTAATTACTTAAGTGCCCCTGGCACAACCTGTTGTTTGGCTTAGGACTTTAGGAGGGTTTTAGGCAAAATCTTAATAGGTGTTTATTTTAACTTATTAAAAATAATTATTAGTGGCTTTTTTTAATTAAACATATTAAATATTTTAAATTATAAATATTAATAATTATTTTTTTAGCACTAATTTCTTACTATTTGAAAGTTTTTTTTGTTTACAAAACTTGAACTCAAAATTTTATTTTAGGGAAATCAAACTTTTTTTATTTAAATTAACAAATCGTTGATATAATTATTAATCATTAGAGATTAATTATAAACTATTAGTTATTTCAAAAAAGTTAATCTAAATAGCATATTAAAAATAAATTCTTTTTCACAAATTTAAAATTTTGCTAGAGAGAAATTTAAAAATTATACTTTTTTTTATGTTAGTTACACAACAGAAGGCAACCCTCTCCCCCTCTTACATTCAGCGGTAAGAGATTATCACTGAATTACTTAGGCTGTTGACTAAAAATTAGATTTTAAATGAATTTTTAAGCAAGTTTTGAGAGAATTACACATTCAAGTTTTTTCCAAATTTAATTAAAATCATGTTTTGAAATTTCACTCTAACAAAAATTTAAATTTGTGAAAAGATAATTTACTTTTAAAGCAAGTGCTTTTTAAGAGCATGTTTAGTGAAATTTATAAGAATTTCAGCTTTTTGATACTATTCATGTTTTATAAGTTTAAATTTTTTTAATTTCTTTTTAACTTTAAAAAAATCTTAAACAGTAAATTTTGAAAAATTTTAAATTTGTAGTTTTTATAAACG